GGACGCCTGTAGTCCCAGCTACTTGGAAGGCTGAGGCAGGAGAATGGTGTGAACTCGGGAGGCGGAGCTTACAGTGAGCCGAGATTGCACCACTGCACTCCAGCCTGGGCAACAGAGCAACAGAGCGAGACTCTGTCTCAAAAAAAACCAAACAAACTATATTTCCTATGAGAGGCCAGGTGCGGGGTGGCTCACACCTATAATCCAAGCACTTTGCAAGGCTGAGGCAGCCAGATAGCTTGAGCTCACAAGTTCAAAACCAGCCTGGTTAACATGGAGCAACTCCATCTCTGCAAAAGATACAAAAATTAGCCAGGCGTGATGGCACACACCTGTAGTCAAAGCTATTTGGGAGGCTGAGGCAGGAGAATCGCTTGAACTTGGGAAGCAGAGGTTGCAGTGAGCCAAGATCGCACCACTGCACTCTAGCCTGGGTGATAAAGCCAGACCTTGTCTCAAAAAAAAAAAAAAAAAAGGCCTATGAGAGATAAAGACTTGATATCTATGAGACAGTAATATGTTATTTTACAAAAGAAACACTTTGAGAATGCAAAAGAGATTTTGGAAATAAAAAAGGGATAGCAGAAACAAAACATTCAACAGAAGAGGCAGAAGATAAGGTTGAAGAAATATCACAGAAAGTGGAACCTAAGAACCAAGAAAAGCAAAGTAGGAGAAAAAAAGAAAGCACCAGTCTAAGAGTTTCAGAAAGAGAGAAAAAATTATTTCTAAAACTAAAATTTTTCAGAGCTGAGGGATATAAATGGCCAAATTAAAAGGAGCCACTGAGCATGCAGCACAATTGACAAAATACGAAAAACAAAACAAAACAAATAAACTCATACATAAGGTTGCTCTATAGTGAAACGTCATAACACTAGTGGTCAAGAGATTCTTCTCAAGTTCCAGAAGATTCTAGAAATTTCCAAAAATCATTCTAGAAATTCCAGAATACTAATGATAAAATGAAGATATACAAATTTCCAGAGATAAATAAGTTGCTTAATTGTCAAATGTCAAAACAATAGAGATAATGGAAAGATTCTACAAACTTTCAGAGGGTGTTCTATAAAAAGAAGTTACATATAAAGGGTCAGGAATCAGAATGGCTTAAATCTTTCAACAGTAACACTGTAAAGAAAACATGGAGCAATACCTTCAAAATTATAAACAAAAATTATTTCCAACTCAGAATTCTATACGTAGGCAAACTATCAATCCTATCTGAGGCTAGAATACAGGTATTCAAGGTCTCAAAAAAATTTACCTTCCATATGCTTTTCTCGAGAAGCTACTCGAGAAGGTTGTCCTCTATAAAAAGACTAAACTAAGAAAAAGGAAAAGTATCAGATACAGAAAGCAAAAAGATTCAACTTGGAAGAAAAGAACAAAAGAGAATCTCCTGGATGAAAATGTAGTGAGAACCCAGTGAAGGAAAGCAACTAACCAGTCCAGAGTGTGGACCCTCACCACCAAGGTCTCTGTCACTATATCTCTTTTTTAACCTAAGGTAACAATGGATCTACATTATCTGTATTGTTTTGACCATGTAATGATACAATACTTTCTCGGCCTTTCATGCCCTGCTGCTTGGACAGACTGAGAACATTCATCTCACCCACAAAAGTGTTCTACTCTGACACATTCCTGAAAGTTTGAGGAAGTGAGTTTAGGTGCAGAACACATTTACGTATCTGTAGATACTTCTGCCAGAAGCCTGGTATTTAGCCCATAGACTTCTCAAATGCGGTAAATTCATCCTCTTTCTCAGGACTCACTCACACATGACCTTCCCCACTGACTTCCCCAGAAGGGTCTTTTGTAAACTTTTAGGAAAACTGAAGCCAGACCCTAACCCAGAGACTATTCAGTCTATATTTCCTGGCAGTGTTGCTTCTTCCTTATTACCAGATTTCTGTTTGTTAATCAGTCTTTCAAAACTAAATTATATATTGCTTGGGGGTTAGATAAAAGTGGCCTGATTATTTAGGGAAGCAAGGGAATGATATACACAAGCCTCAACAGCAGGCACCTCAACAGCAGGGGAAGGCATCATGGGATTGAGAAGGAGCACACAAGAGGCTTTTAGGATCCCACTGACATTCTATGTCCTGGTCTCAGAGGTGGGTACCATGTATTTGATTTATCTTTTTTATATGGTACATTTAAGTTTTAGATATGCCTCTGAATGTATATATAGTTCATAATAAAAAAGAAAAAATTAAATTTCCAGGTTCTCCAAAGGAATAAAATAATGAAGTAATTTTGAACCCAGGCAGTTTGGCTATGAGCTTTGGCATTTGCTATTTGATAAATTAACACATTTTAGGTAGAACTCATTTAAGTCAGGGTTCTACATTTTATTGATCTTTTACATACCATGTGATCGTGGCAAGTTAATTAACATTTCAATGTCTCCATTGTCTAATACAAACAATGGAAAGACAAACTCTTGTCTTCTCTTCTGCCCACAACCAAATGAAGTTTGTGAGGAAGCGGCATTTAAGAAAAGACATTGTTTTCTCTACACCTAATTCCATTTACACTTTTCTTCCTGTTTGAAGAACAAGTTTGGAGAAAAGGTTAACCCTGTATGTCTGTTGAGATCCAATTTCAGCTTTCAAGTGAGATTTTTCTAGCGGGATAACAGAATTTTAAAGAAAAATATTGCCAAATCATGAAGAACAGTAACATTCTACTGCTATTACAGACAGAGGAGTCTACAAACTCCGGACAACTCTAATAGTACTTTTGTAAATTTCATACAGCACTATGAATGGCCCCCAAATAGTTTCTAAATGAGAATACTATTTTCAAAACTTTTAAATTCTCCTTTAAAGACACAGATAGGAGGCCAGGCGCGGTGGCTCACGCCTGTAATCCCAGCACTCTGGGAGGCCAAGGCGGGAGCATCACGAGGTCAGGAGATCAAGACCATCCTGGCTAACACGGTGAAACCCCGTCTCTACTAAAAAATACAAAAAACTAGCCGAGCGAGGTG